ATGTAATATTCGAAGTTTTGAGGGCAACCCGTAACTTTAAAAAGTAAAATTGTGGGTCTAGGGATGTGACCCAGTAAAGGGCTTAGCTTACTGAACATGCACAGAGTTGTGTTTATTCCTCAACATTACATAAAACTGGCACACACCTGTGATCCCAGCACTTGCAAAGTGAAGGCTGGAAGATCGGAAATTCAGTTATCCTCAGATACATAGCTAGTTTTAGCAAGTTTGAGGACAACCTTTGCTATGTGATGCCCTGTCACAAACAAATGAAATGAATAAACACAGCTATGGGTAAATTAGAGTTTTAAGTAGAATTTTCTGTTTACTGTAGTGTATTAGTTTTCTGTTTCTATATAACAAGCTACAACAAGCAATGATTTAAAATATTGTGCAGTTTGTAGTGCATTGCTTTTTTAGCCGGAAGCCTGGGCACAACTGAACTTGATTCCACAGCTCAGGGTTTCACAGGGTGCAGTCACAGTATTAGCTGGGGCTCTCATCTCACGGAGGCTCAGTGTTCTCTGGCAAGCGAATTTGGTTATTGGCTGAACTCACGGACTTCTTGGCAGTTGCAACCTCCTTTAAATTATCTACTGTCTCCTCACATGTGGTTGTCATGGGACGGATGCTCTTTATCTTCGTTGAATCTTTTTATTGAAACACTAACCCCTAAAGTCATGGTGTTTGAGGCTACAGCTTTTTGGACACAATTCAGTTATGAGAGTCTAGACACTGTAAATGAGATTAGTACCTTTTTAGAACAGACATAACATTGTCTACTAAGTGAGGCCACAATGAGATACCATCATCTACAGAGCAGAGAAAAAAATCCTTGTTGGCTACAAAATCTTGGATTTACTAATCCCCTAAATTATGACTAATAAGTGTTTTGTTTAGGCCACCTAATATATGATGCTTTGTTACAGTGTGCTGTCCAATATAATGGTTTTATCATAGGCAAGTTCATGTCATAGATGATTGCTTGCTTGAGGGAAGTAGAAAGGCCTGGCAATTTGGTGTGCTCAAAATCTTATAATGAATCATTACCATCTTTTTAAAATTCAATTGATTTAAATCAAATTGCCATGGTTTTAATGCAAATGAATTATATAAGATAAAAAAAATTGTTTACTTTCAGATGCATTGCTAGGTTACTATAATTTTGAAAAGCAGAATGCTGAAGAGGTTAAGATATAGAACCCCTGCCCACACATGTGCAAGTATTCACTGTCATTCAGAAGCTAAGTAATGTCTAGAAAGCACTTGTTTTGTTTTGAAAGGTAATCTTTAAAAGAAAGATAGTGATGGGATTTTACAATATGGAGATCAATTATATTAATTTTAAGAATATAAAATGTTGCCCGGCACATGCAAGCTTTCAATACATGTTGCAGGTACTCATTTATGTAGAGAAATAAGCAGTTTATTTTCCACCCTCTTTTTTCCTATTTATTAAAATATAACATAAGGATTAGTTTGGAAATATTGAATCATCGTCTCTTTAATTTTGGCGTATGTTCCATCACGGTGGATTTTTTAAAATAAAAAACCTTTGGATGGACTCTGTGAACAGAAATTTTTTTCTTTGTTTTACTTTACTTTTTTTAAAAAAGAAAGCAAACTTTTTTCATCTTACATACCTTGCCCCCTCCCATTCCCTTTGCTCCCCCCATCCCGTCCCACCCCAACCACTAGTCAGAGAGGGTGAAGCACATTGCTTTGGGGAAGATCCAAGGCTCTCCCTACTATATCTAGGCTGAGCAAGGTATCCATCCAAAGAAAATGGGATCCCAAAAAGTCAGTACAAGCATTAGGGTCACGCAAGAGATAACATTATACATGTGATGCAGGGAAAATGCAAAATTAGATTATTTTTCTTGAACTTAAAAAGATCTTTATGAGTCTCTAATTATTGAAATCATGTGTTTCATTATGCCTGTGTATATTAACATTTGGAAGTAATGACTCAGTGACTAGAGTTATTTTTCTAACACAATGGAATATTTAGGGAATATTGAAGAATAAACATAATGATTAATATTATAGGGGACTTAGAAACAATAAATATCACAAATAGTGGCAAATATTGTGAAAAAATTGCTCAGTCTTCCTTGACTTAAAGGATGACAGAACCCTCAGTTTAAATTTCCATTTAGGATGAACAAAATGGCTCATGAGGTAAAGGCTTTTGCTTCCAAATATTAAAACGTGAGTTCAGCCCCTAGGACCCGCACCAGGCTAAGAAAGTGCCAGCTCCAGCAATGTGTCTCCTGATCTCCACATATGCATTGTGACAAATGGCACCTATGCTCATGTGAAACATACAAGCACATTAATTTATTATCAATTAATTTAGATAACATCTAATTTAGATAATAATAGGAATCCAACAAAGAAATAAAAGGATGAAATTTGACAAAAGATAAACGCAAATTCAATTACTATTTAAGGCTGACTGTTTTTTAAATTTATGAATAGTAATAAATAAGTCTAAAACATTTCCAAAATATGTTGCTTTGGGTGGTATTGTGGTGGTTACCATACGGTGAAGTAGCCAGGTGTAGAGTATCTTTAATTCTGTACTCAAGAGGCTAAGACAGATGTCTGCTAGTGCAAGACTTCTCTGTGTTATGTAGTCAGACCTTGTGTCACAAAAAAAACACACACACACACAAAAAGATAAGCTGTCATAATTAAATAAATTAAAATATTATTTAAATATAAAATTAATTGACCACATTGTTAGACAAATTGCCCAATTTGATATTAAAATAATTATATATTTTATAATCTATCTCTTAAATTTATTTTCAGATCAGCCAATGAATACAAGAAGAACAGGAGTTGTATAAACAGTATTGGCATTAACAGAGGGAAAATTTAATTTTAAAAGTGCAAATGTGGGCCGAAAGAGATGATTCCGTTGTTAAGAGTACTTAATGATCTTGGAGAGATGCCAGGCTCAGTTCCTGGCAGCTACACCGGGTGTCTCACAGCTACTATTAACTCTAGCTCAAGGCAATCACCACTCTTCTCTGGTCTCCTTAGGTAGCCAAAGAGCATGAGGCCTGCAAATATACACAAAAATAAAAATAATTTTAAGAGTAAATAAGTCAAAATAAAATTCAAGAAAGTGTGTATTTATATATCAGGAAATAAAATTCGGGAATTTCAAACTATCTTGTTACAATAAATATAAATGGAATACACATGCTCACTAAAGAACAAGATTTGTTTATTAAACGAAAACACTTAATTGCTGAAAGATATGTTATATTGAACTATTGCCTCAAATGTTATTATGTTAGCTTAATAATAGCCAAAAAGAAAAACTAAGAGAAGAGCATTGATAAAGATGAATAGTTATGTGTCATTTCAGAAAAGGGAAGCTTGTCTAGAATACAGTGAAGTGTCATATATATGTATGTATATATATATGCTACAGTGTGCTCAAGACATTTAATAAAATAAATGAGAGTTGTGATCCCATCAAATATTGTTAAATCCTACAATGAAAAAAATCCTACATCTAAGGCTATAATTTAAAGAAATTATTACCTCAAAAGCATATAACTAGAAATCCAACAAAAGAGAAGCCAGAACTTAAAATACAGTTCATTAAATAAAATTTATTTCAAAGATTTGAGTGTTTGAAAAAAATTATTTGTAGCTTATCTGAAATGTTTTACGTGTGTAACAGAATTTCTTTTCAGTTAGAGAATTTGATATTCATTTTTTTTATTTCCATCATATTAAACATTTGGCCTGCACATTGCTTCAGCCTGACATGATGGTCTTGCCCATTAGCTTTATAACCACTATAATTTTTATCCATCCATTTTTACTTATAAATGTGCCTTCATTATATTTGAGTCACTTATGAAAAACGAGAGCCTGTTAACATGAGGACAAGGACTTAAACTCTTGATGTGTCTAGCTACTGATGAGATATAATGTATTATCACATATTAAAGATTGTATTTGAACATCTCTTTTTCTACACTTATATATTATGTAATCTAGTAATAATTGTGCTTTCTTTCTTTTACAAACTGTTGACCAAATAGTCCCATAAACTCCTTCTAAACCATCAAAAGCTGAGGCCAAAGCATTATAACCACGACCCTATCCCTGACTTCTTTATTATTTCTTCCCTTCTGTGGAAGATATTTCTTTTGTTTCTTATTTAAGATCACCTTCTGTATTTAGTTGTCTTGGATTTTATTTTCAACTGGTTCACCTTTATATGACTGGTTTTTCTATTGTTATTTGTTATCGAGTTCGCTTTTCATTTTTTTTAGTGAAATATTAACCCCCCCAAGACTCTGATTACTGGAGAATAAATTAAACTTCTTTTTATTACCTGTATCTTCATTACAGATAATGCTTTTTGTGATTTCCCTAAGCTCCTTGAAGGCAAATTTTTAGTCAAATGCAAATGTTTCCCAATCCTATCTGCTGTATTGCTTCAGTTTTCTTTGAGAATATTCTTAGCCTACAGTACTCTATTGACTCTGCAAAAATATCTAAACATCTTTCTCTTAAATGTGCATTTCAAACATGAATTCATTAACTTTTCTTCTAGACAGCAACTGTCTTAGTTAGACTTTCTATTGCTTTGATAAAACACTGTCATCAAAAGCATGTTGGGGAAGTAAAGATTTATTTCATATCACACTGAAATAAGGGCAAAACCTCAAGGCAAGAAGCTGAATGTAGAAAATGAGAAAGAGGCTCTGGAGAAACATTATTTGCTGGCTTGTTCTTTAAGGCTTGTTCATCTCACTTTCTTAGACAATCGCAAGGCCAGCTGCCCATGATTAGTACCACCCACAATGGGATGGGCCCTCCAAAATCAATCACCAATTAAAGAAATGCACCCTGACCGGCCCATTTACTCAAATGAGCTTCCTTCTTCCCCAAACTCTAGTTTGTGTCAAACTGCAAAGCTGCATTAATGCAAAAAAAAAAAAAAAAAAAAAAAACCTCGACGGCCGCGGAAGCGCCAGACAATAAGAACCTTTATGTTGAAGCTGGAGCAATGCTATTCTTCTGTCTGAGCTGCGGAAACGGACTGATTGTGGAGGAAGGACAGCGTTGCCATCGCTTCGCCTGCAGCACTTGCCCCTACGTGCATAATATCACACGCAAGGTAACAAACCGAAAGTATCCAAAGCTGAAAGAGGTGGATGATGTGCTTGGGGGAGCAGCTGCCTGGGAGAACGTGGACTCCACTGCAGAGCCATGTCCAAAATACGAACATCCCCGTGCCTATTTCATGCAGCTTCAGACCCGTTCTGCAGATGAACCAATGACCACCTTCTACAAGTGCTGCAGTGCTCAGTGCGGACATCGCTGGAGTGACTAAGGGCAGGACTTACCCAGCTGTAGCTCTGAATTTTGTGTGATGACGATCTTTGCTGTGTGATAGGAAGCTAACTCTTCAGTGGTGGAGGACCAGGGTGAAACAGGTCATCTGCAGAATACAGTGACCTATGGTGATTTACATATCGACTTCACTTGGAAAGAATGGGCTTTTCTGGATCCTTCCCAGAAAAATCTCTACAAAGATGTGATGCTGGAGACCTACAGGAATCTCGCTACTATAGGATACAATTGGGAAGACCATAGAATTGAGGAACATTATCAGAATCAGAATTCTAGAAGACAAAAAAGGTATGAAAGAAGTCATACTGGAGGGAAAACATCTAAATATACTCTATGTGTTAAAGGCTTTGCAAATCATAATCACCTTCAAAGGCTTGAAAGAATTCAGACTGGAAAGAAACCCTATAAATGTAATCAATGTGGTAAAGCATTTGCACATCGTGGTAGTTTCCGAGTCCATAAAAGAACACATACAGGAGAGAAACCCTATAAATGTAATCAGTGTGGTAAATCCTTTGCATGCCCCAGTAATCAACAATTACATGAAAGAATACATACTGGAGACAAACCCTATAAATGTGATCAATGTGGTAAAACCTTTGCACGTTCTTCTAATCTCCATATACATAAAAGAACGCATACTGCAGAGAAATCCTATGAATGTAATCAATGTGGCAAAGCCTTTGCACGTCAGAGTCATCTTCAATGCCATGAAAGAACACATACTGGAGAGAAACCCTATGAATGTAACCAGTGTGGTAAAGCCTTTGCATATCAACATAATTTTCAAATACATAATAGAATACATACTGGTGAATGTAATCAGCGTGGTAAAGGTTTTGCATGTGTCAGTACACTTCGGAGTAACGAGAAAAAATACTGCAAAGAAACCTTATAAATGTAGTCTGTTTGGTAAAATTTTGCCCTTTATATAGAAGTAAACTTTTTGTGTGCAATCAATCTGTTAAAGCCTTTGCATATTATATCAATATTTGTGTACCTAAAAAAACTAATAATGAAAGGGCTTCTTACTATAAAGTATTTGGTAAGATTTTTAGCCAACACACCTACATGCAGTTATATAAGAGTATTCAGGAGAAAAACAATTGACAATGTCATCAATCTGTTCAAGCATTGTGGTGTCTATCTTTATTTTGTTTTTACCTGCAAATCCTTGTTGGGGGGAGACCCTTTGAATTTAAATGATAAGGTAACCCTTCTGTATTTCATATTTCTCTTTAAGTATATGTAATAACCAATTCAGTTGTAAACATTTATGGATTTGTGGTAGTGCCTTTTCTGTTGTGATAAAATATGTCTGCATCAACTTATGGTTCCAGAGAGATACAGGATCAACATGAAAGTGGCAACAAGTGTCAGATATATCAGTTAAATCAGGAGGCTAAAACTCACATCCTTAATTTGTAGCATGAAGCAGAGTGGGAACTGGAGGTGTGTGACTGTAAATTCTCAAAGCATACCCCCAGTGACAAATTTCCTCCAGCAGGGCAGCATTTCCTAAATCTTCCCAAATGATACCACCAACTGAGAAGGACTAATTTCTCTGACTTCAAGCCTACATACTTGTTTTCTGTTGTATGAACCAATTCATGATGAAGAAAAATTCTTTAAATAACCCTTTAGATGCCTCAACATCTGTGTCACAAGAATAAATGCTTATAAAATAAAAATTTTCATGAGTGAAAAAAAAAACTCAAATTTCAGTATCTAGGGACTCTGACTAAATTGTGGAAATATTCAGACCATTTCTTGTCATAGTAAACAGGACTATGATATACAATGAGAATTTCCTTCCTACTCACTCTTCTTCAATGTGTGACAGATGGACAGGAATCATTTAATTATTGATGATAGCAGTTATGAAGATTGAAACAGATTCCAAGTGAATATAGAAGTAGGTCTAATTTGATTTACCAGTGAAAATTATACTTTCCCAGAATGATACTGGAAAGTGAACTAACTACATGTTTAAAAGGTGAGTAGTAATTCGTATAGCAGAAGAAAGGAAATATATGAGGAAGCAGATTTCTGATACAGTTAGCATTATAAAGGGCATTTATGCAAATATTATATAATGATGTTAAAATGGTAGTCTGGTGAATTTAGCAAAAACCTACTCTTAAGGAAGTTTTTTCCAATCTTACAAAAATGTAAAGGGAGCAGTAGAAGTGAGTAGTTGTGCTACCTCTATGATCTGGTATGCTGATGAAAAGCATAAACAACTACCAAGAGATTAGGAGACAGTATCTCTGAGGGAAGAAGGAAGAGATATTTATGTCCTTGATAACCCCCTTACACAGAGTTGAAAAGATATAAGGAGAAGAATAGAGAGGGTGAGACCATGCCTCGTAGTATATTGAATATCTAGACAGTAACCTTCAGAAATCGTGAAACTAGAGAAGAGATGAAACTTTTCAGAATCAAGGAAGGTCAATCTCCGCTTGAGACATTTAAATTTAAAATATGAATATGAGCTTGGTGGTAACATGTCTCTAATCCCTGCAGTTATCAGGCAGATCTTAGGACGCCTGGGTTAGTCAGCAAGTTCAAGTTCAGTCGGGGTTACAGAGTGAGATCATGTCTTATGTTCTCTCACTACTAATTAAGTGAAAATAAGGGTTTTAATCTTGGGATAAATTTTTAAAGGTATTTGAATTTAAAGCTGTTATAGTTATGCAGGTCTTGTCGTCATAACTCCTGTGTCCATAGAACGAAGTTCAATTTTTATCTAGACAGATTGTGTGTAAAGAGTGTAAGCAGGTTTATTAACAAACAAATAATTTGCTTCTTAATACTAAGGACAAATACACCTGCAAAAGCAGTAGTTGTATGTTCACTTAATGCCAAAGATTTACATTTTCTCTGGGAACCTAGCCTGTTTGGATGCTCACCTTCCTAGACCTGGATGGAGGGGGGAGGACCTTGGACTGCCCACATGGCAGGGAACCCTGACTGCTCTTTGGACTGGAGAGAGAGGGGGAGGGGAATAGGGTGTGGGGAGGGGGACGAGGGGGAGGAAAAGGGAGGCCGGGAGGAGGCGGAAATTTTTAATAAAAAATTAAAATTAAATTAAAAAATTACATTTCTCTTTAAAAGTCCGTGTTACGGTTTGTGACTGAAGCAACTGTTGAAAGATCTGAATTGATGTGGGAGTGATTTCTTATTAATAAAGAAACTGCCTAGGCCCATTTGATAGGCCAACCCTTAGGTAGGCGGAGAAAACAGAACAGGATGCTGGGAAAAAGAAGCTTAGTCGAGGAGTCGCCATGATTCTCCTGCTCCAGACAGACGCAGGTTAAGATCCTCCCTGGTAAGCCAGCTCGTGGGCTACATAGAATATTAGAAATGGGTTAGAACAATATGTAAGAGCTAGACAATAAGAAGCTGGAACTAGTCGGGCCAGGCAGTGTTTGAAAGAATACAGTTTCCGTGTAATTATTTCGGGCATAAGCTAGCCATGCCGGTGGCTGGGTGCCGGGGACGCAGCCCCTCCGCTCCTATTTCAACACTGAATGTTGAGTATCTAGTTCCATTTAGTGAATCTATACATTGAGAGTTGAATTGATTGCAAGAGCACTGACTTTACCAATGGATATGTTTCTTCTGAATTATAATATGATGCTATTCTTAGAAAATGGTAAAATTGGGAGGTGGCGCCTAGTTAGAAATGCATCCCTTGGGCATGCTTTGGAAATGGGTGTCCTTGACTCCTTCCTTTGTCTTTCTTTCTGCTTCTAGGACATCATGAGGGAAGCAACATTATGTTGCCATGCCTTTCATCCTGATGATCTTCTTCACCTTGCTCCACAAACAATGGGAGCAATTATCTATGGACTGACTTCTGAAATCATCAGCCAAAACAAATGTCTTTTCCTCTAAATTGTTCCCTTGTGATATTTTTCCAGTGATGAAACGTTGACTATGTATCACTCCATATTCTCATATTGTTCTCAGAATGATGCCTTGTAGTATGTATGTGTGCATGAATAGGTGTATAGACGTGTATATTCACACATATGTAGAGATCAAAGGTCTGGATTGGCTATCTTCCTTTATAAATCTCTACGTTTTTGTGAGATGATAGCCCTCTTGCTGAGTCTGAAGCACATCGATTTCACTAGCTTGTCTAGACAAAACACTTCAACCATTTGCTTATTTCCACCTCCCAAGCCCTGGTATTATAGATGCATACCTCCATTCCTAGCTCTGTGTATAATGGTGGCTGTCAAAACTCGGGCCTTCATGTGTATGCAGTAAGAACTTTGCCAAATGAGCTGTTTCCTATTCTCTGATGAATTATTTTTTTTACAGTAGAACTTAAATTGATGATAAAAATTAATAGATATATTGGTGTGGATAGCTTATGGGTGGAAACTATAAGAAAATATGAGACCATATATGTGTGTGTGTGTGTGTAGTGAGTGTGTGCTGCTGTTAATGAAGAGTATAATATGAATAAAATTGATTTGTAAAAACTGCTTCAAAACAGAATCAGAGAAATGAGCCAGCTTTCTTTGTAATGTAATATGAATTCAACAGCAACAATGGAGACCTCATGAGCAAAACACTTGCCAACTGCTGTACCTAGATGTTTTCATAAAGAGATTTAATTTCCAACATTTGCCTTTTAGAAGTGACAAAACATACAAACCAAAGCAACATTATGGAAATTTGAAGGCAATTTTGAGATTACAATAAATTACATTTTCCCCCTTCCCTTTCTTCTTTCCAAAGCCTCCCATATGCCCCTCCTTGTTCTCTTTCTAATTTGTAACTTTCTTTTCACTGTGTGTGTTTCTGAGTGTGCCTGTGTGTGTGTTTGTTTTCCAGTGTTCTTTATTGTACCTTTTATTTTAATCAGGAATATAAATATTTAGTAATTTTTATGAAATTTGATTCATCTTTTGGAAGGGATAAACTGAAATTTTTATAGCATTTACACTTTCTTTGTCCAGCAAGATGGAGTGCTTTCTTTCTCTAGGCCATTTTTTATGTAATCCATGTGTAGTGCTTTTGTCCATATAATTCCTTTCAAAATTATCCCTAAGCTAAACTATAATTTTTAAAATACCTTTTCTTACCTGAGTTTTTTTCTTGCCAAGAAGGAGTAAGTCAAGACTCAAAATAAATTGATTGTCTATGGATACATTGACGTAATATGCAGGGCATCACATTGTCAGACATGTCATACATTAATATGATTATTATCATAAATTTATACTTCTAAACATTTCTATGCCATGTTTTTCCTTGGACCCTTCACATAGGTCATCGTTGTAGACACGGCACTGGCCTGTGACTGCATTTACTATCATCTTAGGTCTGACATGCCACAGCTCCCTAGCTGTGTCCTTTGTCCTTCCAGGATATTTAGACTACTAATATCACAGCAAACAAACCGCTGAAGTACATCCAAATCCGCCTGCCCTGAAAATAATTTGGGGACGAGTTCTTAAAATAACATTTGCCTGTTACTTTTAATATTATAAATTATTCATCACTCTCATCATGTGGCAAATTATAGTGAACATTTTTTTCACTCTATGAAATTCTATTAGGTGTCTTTTCCTTTTTAAATATGCATAAAACTAGAAAATACACATGGCCCACTTCAATGATTGCTATTTTAATTAGTGGAAATGCTGTATATTGCAAGTACTATTCTCATGCAGTTGACTAAAATATAAAAGTGCTCATATAGTTTCAAGAAAATATCCTGTTTGTAGAATTTGATAAAACATAAAA